TGTTGAGGTGAGGGTGGAGGGTTAGTGACCTGTACCTTCTCCAGCTCTCAGATCTGCTTCCAGAACACTCTGACTAAGGTGGAACAGGCTATAGCCCGGCTTCCCAGCCTCAGCAACCGACTTAGCTATGCTGTCCGAAAGGTCCACACCATTCAGGGTGGGTAGAGAAACTGTGAGTGTGTCCTGCTTGCTTTGTCCATCATCWTCCTGGTCCAGCTCTTTCTGATCCCACATCCATCCTCCTGGTTCCTTCTTGCCAGCCCCAGCATTTCTTTTTCCCTTACTCCCCTGTCTGTCCTTTTTTTCCTTTGTGTACTCATCTCTTTTTGCCTCTTCCCAGGCCTGATGGCTCGGAAACTGATTCTGGCCCAGCTGCGCCTGGAGAGGTAAAGTCTGGGCACTTTAAGGTGAAGGGGGTGTTATGTGGGGGGTGAAGCTTTAGGATGTTGGCTGCTGGAATCCCAAACAATGAGGACTGAGGAGGGATAGGGGCTCTAAATTCCTTAGCCAACAGCTGACTCTGTTTCTCTTCTGTCTTAGCTGCCCTCCACCTCCACCCCCTCCCCCACCTCCACCCCCACCTGACATAGATTTAAACCTTGAGTTGGAGCAGCTGCGGGAAGAACGGAATCGCCTGGATTCAGAACTGCAGCTGAGTGCTCATGTCATACAACAGGAAGTGGGCCGGGCCCGGGAGCAAGGTACATGTAGATGGATGGATAAATAGATGGGGGACGTTGATGAAGAAGAGGGAARACTTGACATCTAGAGCACATGCACAAGAAGAGGTCTGAGTGAGCATATTCTTCTAAGGGGAAGCAGAGCGGCAGCAGCTGAGCAAGGTGGCCCAGCAGCTGGAGCAGGAATTACAGCAAACCCAGGAGTCTCTGGCCAGCCTAGGACTACAGTTGGAAGCAGCTCGCCAGGGCCAGCAGGAGAGCACTGAAGAGGCTGCCAGTCTCCGAAAGGAGTTGACTCAGCAGCAGAAGATCTATGGGCAAGGTGTGGGGGAGGGGAAGTGTGCACCCCTTTGTGGTCTGGGGTGGTTCCTTCTGACACTCATTGCACCTTCATCCCAGCTTTGCAAGAGAAGGTGGCTGAGGTGGAGACTCGACTTCGGGAACAGCTCTCAGACACAGAGAGGAGACTGAACGAGGCTCGGAAGGAGCAGGCCAAGGCTGGTGAGATGTGCCAGGGTAGATGTAGGCCTTCTAGGAAGAAGGAATTGTTGAGACAGAAAGTTATTATTCCCCACTAAAACTTGCTGAGGCATGCCACAAATGAAGGGATAGGAATGGCACATTACCTGTGGACATACTATGAAGTTTAGTGTCAAGAAACAGCACACACTGAGTGTAGTGGTGTATCCTCTAATCCCAACAACTCAGGAGACCCTGTCTCAAAATAAAAAAGTACTTGGGTACCWGGCATGGGGGTACACATCTGTAATTCCAGTGACTTGAGAGGCTAAGGCAGGAGGATTGCAAATTCCAGGCCAGCCTCAGCAGTTTACTAAAATCTTTTCTCAAAATAAAATAAGGGCTAGGGTGGTGGCTCAGTGGTAGAGGGCCTTTGGGTTCAGCCTCCTGTACCAAACACCACACACCACGCACGCACAAAACCAGAGATGTAGTTCAGTGGTAGAGTGTAAGTTCAATCCTTAGTACCCACCCCCCAAAAAAAAGTCCTTTATTGAATGTATCTTCTCTAACTAGAGATGGCAGTTAACATTTGCCACATTTGCTCTTGTGTATACATGCACATATTTATATATACATTTTTTAATTATTTAAAGTAGATTGCAAACATGATTGTTCAGCCAAATCACCCACAAATAGGAATTCTGTGTAACTGCAATACTATGATCATACTATAAGAATATGAGTACTAATTGCACAAAATCTAATATCTAGCCCATGTTCAGTTCTCCCCTAAGGAACTCCTGGGTGGATTGGGGGATAGGAGAGGTACTTGGGTTCACAGATACACAGGAACCTGGAGCATCAACCCACCTCTCCAGCTGAATGGAAGAGACACTGGGATCTACAGAGTAGAGTAACTTCCCATATGTGCACTTGCCCTGGCATTTCAGTTTTGTTTTCATGGTGCCTGGCCACCTCTAGGATGACCCACACCCTCCCTCTCCACCCTGGCTTCTCCACAGAGGTGTCTCTGCGCCAGATCCAACGTAAAGCCACTAGAGAAAAGGAGCGGAACCAGGAGCTCAGGCGTCTGCAGGATGAGGCCCGGAAGGAGGAGGGGCAGCGGCTGACCCGGCGAGTGCAAGACCTGGAGAGGGACAAGAACATCATGCTGGTAGGAGACTGAAGAGTCCAGGGCCCATGGTTTACTGGTTGATAGGTAAAGGAGTGGAAAAAGGAGGGAAGGCTTTCCCCGGACTAGGTGGCGTTTAACCCTCTCCTTCCCAGGCCACCTTGCAGCAGGCGGGTCTCCTCTCCCATTACAAGCAGCAGCGACTGTTGGCAGTTCTTCCCTCCATACTGGATAAGGAGAAATCTGTGGAGTCCAGCCCCAGGCCTCCTGGATCCTCAGTACCACCGGCAGCAGCTCTGTCGTCCAGGGGGCCCACAAAAGGTAATGGACTAATCATAAAGCGACAAATGGGGGCACGCCTGGCATCTACTCCAGACCCTTTTGTGTGTGTATGCCTTGGCCTCTTCCATCCACACCCACCTTTGACCCAAGAAACTTGTCCCTCATACCATCATATCCAGTACCAGCGTCTATACTTGGGTGTCTTTTTTTCCCAGAGTCCCTCTCTGTCCTGCTTGATAGTCTACAGGGCCTGAGTGAGGCCATTTCCAAGGAGGAAGTTATTTGTCAAGGAGACAACCAGAATTCTGCTCCAGTCCACACCTGAGCAGCTACAGCTGAGAGCTGGAGGTGAAGCCTGCCTAAGGGCTGAATCCCCAGAAAGATCCTGGAGAATGGGTGGGGGCCAGCCCAGTCTACTTCCCCTTCCAGCCTCACAGACACCAACTTCCTCTAAGTCTAAATTCTCCTGCACTACACTAAATAAAGATGACTCCACTTGAACCACTGTCTGGAAGTGTTATCTTGGGGAATTCTTCCTGAGGCTGTGAAAAGTGGTGCCTCTTTCCAAACATCTTTTCTATCCTGTTTTAGAAGCTTTTGAGAAGCTCCTGTTTTCTTTTATTCTCACTTTTTGTTTTAAAACTCTTTTCCTCTGGAATGTGATAAATGCCAGGAGAGAGAAAGATAAACATTCATTCATTCAACAAGAATCTTAGATCCAGGCAAGGCCTTTGCACCCAGGTGCCTATGTTCTAATGGGAGAGACAAATAGACAAGGACCTCAGAATAAATGAGTACTTCAAAGGAGAGCTAGGAAGAGAAAGTAAGATACAGATATATGATAGAAGGGGACTCTGGGAGGGGCAGCTTTAGGTGAGGGGCCAGGAAAGGCAAGGAACTTTGTGCTGAGGCCAGGAAAGATTAAGGGGACCCAGACAGAGGATGTTGGGGAAGAGGCCAATATTGGCAAGTAATTTAAAATTTATTCAAAGTTAATAGAAAGCTCTAGGGGCTTCAGTTTCAATTTACTTTTTTTTTTTTTTTTTTGTAGTACTGGGGATTGAATCCCCAGAGAGAACTCTAATACTGAGCCACATCCCCAGTCCTTTTTATTTTAGTTATTTAAAAAAAAAAAAAAAATTTGTAGGGGCTGTGGATGTGGCTCAAGCGGTAGCGCGCTCGCCTAGCATGCGTGCGGCCCGGGTTCGATCCTCAGCACCACATACCAACAAAGATGTTGTGTCCAACAAGAAAAAAATGAATAAATGTTAAATTTCTCTCTCTCTCTCTCTCTCTCTCTCTCTCTCTCTCTCTCTCTGTCCCTCTCACTCTCTCTTTAAAAAAAAAATTGTAGTTGGACAGAATGCCTTTGTTTATTTTAATGTGGTGCTAAGGATCGAACCTAGTGCCTCCTACATGCTAGGCAAGTGCTCTGCCACTGAGCTCCCCTCAGCTCCCCCAGCCCTTTTTATATTTTTGAGACAGGGTTTCTCTAAGTTGTTGAAGTTACCCTCAAACTTGCAATTCTCCTACCTCAGCCTTTAGAGTAGTTGGAAGTACAGGCATGTGCCCCCATGCCCAGCTCAATTAGCATGTTGTAAGAAGATGCATTTTTGAACTGAGACCTGAAAATGGGGACAGAAAAAGCTGGAGCAAAGAGTTCCTGAGGAAGGAGGAAGAGGCCAGGATTACAGGAGGGGCATCTTCTTCCTGAACCTCTGGCTGGAGACTAATGCCACCAGTTCTGGGTGGGGAAAGGGAAGCAGGATATCCTCATGTGTCTTTCCTCTTCATTGTCACCCCAGATGCCTCCCACATGGAATTCTTTGGCTGTCACTGGGAGGTCCCATTTAAGCAGGCACATGCCAGAAAGCAGCATGCCTGGTCCTGAGGAAGGAAGCCCTTAAAATGAAGGGTAAGGGGGCTGAGGCAGGCATGTTAGTGGACACTGCATCAGCTGCATCTCAGGTTTCAAAGGCTCCCCCCATGTCAGCTCAAGCGTCCTGCTTCACAGCCTTATAATTATGGTGCTTCCCCAAGCAGGGCTTGCTCCCATTCTTTGGCTTCTGATAGCTACCAGGGATGAAAGGGTGGAGGTCCCTGTGATTATGAAGATGACAGGTGGGTATAGATTTTTGCAGAGTGTGGATGGAGCTGATGTAAAAACAAGGGTGGGGTGATCATCTGGGTCAATGACAGTGAGAGCCAGTGATTAGGTCTTGGGCTAGGGGACTAAAATGAGAGACGCCATAGTCAGGCTTCATGTTAGCCAGGGCCTTCCCAACGGGTTTGACCAGTTTGATTCTGATGGGATTCCTTGTGTCACTGGGCCGGCCCCTCCCTATAGACTAGCCTCCTCCTCTCCATCTTTCCCTATAAAGCCTCTTGGGATTCCCAGACACCCAGACTCAGAGCACCCCACTTTTGGGGGCCAGTAGACAGCCATGATGATCAACTGGAAGCTACTGGGGATCCTGGTCCTTTGCCTGTTTACTGGAGGTGAGCTGGGAGCAGGCCAGGAATATCGGGGGTAAGGGGGATGGCCAAGATGACCAACCCTTAGTGAAGATAATCACTAAAAATGAAAGGGGTGAATCAGGCACACAAACATGGAAGGGAATCTGAAAATTTATATGAAGGGTATAGTTCAGAGCATTTTGGTTCAGAATCAATGTTTTGCTCTTTCGGGTGGGACCATGTGGCTGTTTCAGAGTTCAGATATGTTGGCTGAGGAAGAAATGTGTTAGGAATGGTGGGATCATTGTGGAGGTGGGATGTGGATGCCACATGTGGCCAAAGTGTAGACCACTTTGGGGTACAGTGGGGCCCATGCTAGCCAGGTGTGGGCATAGAATGAAGATTATTTGGGGGAGGTGTCAGGCCCTTAACATTGGGCAAATGAATGGCTCAAAATCAATTTTCATGTTATTTTAAGACTGTGATAAATGTATGGAGAGTGCTTTGAAAATTACTTTGAGGTTTAGCTGGACAGCTCAGACTGTCCATCCCAAAGAGGTTCTGTCTCCTGTTCTGTAGCTGGGGTGGGGGGTAACTACTACTCTTCACCTCTTACCTTTCTCCTTCCTCTTCTACAGGAATCTCAGGCAGCAAAGACCAACYTTCTACCCCACCCACAGAGGGCAGAGAGGAGGAGAGCTCCCCAGCGTTGCCTCGGGGCCCTCCAATACCTGGTGACCCCTGGCCAGGGGCACCCCCTCTCTTTGAGGACCCTACACCTCCAAGCCCTACCCGTCCCTGGAGAGACCTGCCTGAAACTAGTGTCTGGCCCCCTGAGCCACCCAGCACTGATCCTCCTCAACCTCCCCGGCCTGATGACCCYTGGCCAGCAGGACCCCAGCCCCCAGAAAACCCATGGCCACCTGCCCCTGAGGTAGACCATGGCCCTCGGGATGAGCCAGACCTTGACCCTCCCCGGGAAGAGTACAGATAACAGGGATCCCCAGGTGACTTGGGCCTCTAGGCAGAGTACTCCCAAGCTCATCTCTACCCTTTTGTTTCCCCTTAAAATTTCCCCAATTTTGCCTAACTCCGCATTCTCTCAACTTATTCTGATTTCAGAAGGAATCATCAATGTTTTGTCACCTCTTGGTATCCCTATTTAGTCCCCATATTTTCCCTCTTTTTCTTTGACAGCATAAGCACACACTCCTACCTCACCCAGTTCTCTCGCTGCCCCTACCTTCCACCTTCTCTTCTTCATCCCTGGGACCTGGGATTTCTGGGGCCAGGTGAGCAGACTGTGCTCTCTGCTGCCACCTGGTGGTATATGACGGACCCATCAGTAGACAAGGATGGCGCTTCCCTGAAATAGAAAAATAAAAACCATGTTTTCTTATTTCTGAATCTAGGCCACTTCTTTACCATTGATTATGTTTTTGAATATTCAGATGCCCTTCTCACAGCCCTCAATTTGCAGAGGTCTGGAAGTAATCTGAGTTTCTATCTTTCCTACATGTCATGCAAAAAGGTGTAGGACTCTGCCTTGAAAATGCATCTAGCAGAATCACAATGGTGTTCAGACCCAAGTTCCTTTATTTATGGGACCCCTGTATTGAAGAGTGAGAAAGGAAGTTAGGTCTTTCTTTAATGACTCATAGTTTGCATGCCTCTGGCAGTACTTTCCCARGGGTGTGTGGGCAGTTTTTTGTTGTTGTTTTGGGTACAGGGRTTGAACTCAGGAGCACTCAACCACTGAGCCTCATCCCCAGCCCYATTTTGTATTTTATTTAGAGACAGGGTCTCACTGAGTTGCTTAGCACCTCACTTTTGTTGAGGCTGGCTTTGAACTTGCCATCCTCCTGCCTCAAACTCCCGAGCCACTGGGATTACAGGTGTGCACCACCACAACCAGTGCATATGGGCAGTTTTAAGGGAATCAGTTTCCAGATGTATAAGTAAGTCGCTTGCTCACCCTGAGCCTAACAGGGTACTCTTCCTGGAGCTGCCAAATTAAGGTCTATGGGGGGCTGGGGATATAGCTCAGTTGGTAGAGTGCTTGCCTCACATGTATAAAGTCCTGGGTTCAATCCCCAGCATCACCAAAAAAGAAAAAAGAAGCCAATGGGAAATGTAAATCAGCCCTTTTCATCTCATTAAGAGAAGCATTTTCAATAAAAGTTTACTTTTTAATGTCTAAATATTGCCATATTTGTTATTTTGACCAATTGTCTTACAATAACCCAGTAAAGAAGAACCATTTAACAGAGTCTTTTGATTGTAAGAAATAAATTTCAATTTATATGCACATTTTGTCAGAGATATATAATAAAAGACTTAGTAAAAAAGGTATACAACAAAATATAAAGGAGATCTACAATAAAAAATAAATTTTATTAGGGGAGATTCTATAGGAAAAGGAGACTGGAAAAGGAACTAAAGAGAAAAAGGAACAAGGCAAATTTCTATTTGGTTAAATAAAGAGTGTTGTAGGGACAGACGAGGCAAGGCATCAAAGACAGCAGGAAACAGTTTTATTTGGCTGCAGCTAGGTTCAGAGGGCACAGCTTTTACTATAATTAATCAATTCCCTGAACCCCGAGTTCAGGTAGTTTCAGAATTTTATACCCAGCATGTAAAGGGAGGGGTTCAGAAGTTCATAGTCTGTGGAAGTTCACATAAAAGCAGCTCTTTCTTTCACTGTTCTGGGCAAGTTAACCCTTCAAGGACAACACCTAAGAAGGGGAGAATTTCTTCTCCCCTTTCTTTCCTTCCCCTGTTAGCTGTTACCACGGAGCCCAATTGGTAACTTGTCTTATCATAGAAATGTAGACATCTCTGTGAAGCTCCAGCTCAAGGCCAGAGGCCTTGTTAAAGGATTTGTCCTTTTTTAAAATCACATCTTTCATTTGCAAACACACTTCTACAAACTACTATACTGGATACAAGTTTGTGAAAAACAAGTAAAGGGGCTTTCAGCACCTGAAGTGCTGATTTCTTCCTGGCCAATGGCCAAGTAAAATAGAGCAACAGGAAAATAGGAAGTTTAACTACATTGAACTTTTTTGTAGAGACTCTTTTGCTGACACTCCTAAAATCAACCATGGTAAAGATTTGTGGAGAAGCCCAGTTAAGATTTTTTGTAGAGAAAGGGGGTGCCACTACAAGGGCTTGTTCATGTATTTCTTAAATAGATATGAAAGYCTATGGTATTATATTCCATCTGCTACATTTAAAAGAGTGAAGTGATTTTTCAAAGGGAAGTACTTTCAAATCCCTGGAAAGTATATCCTTTGAAATTTAGTTTCATATTTAAACTGTTAGATGTTGTCTTAAAAATGTGTAAGGAGTACATAGTTTTTCAAAATTCTTTTATGAAATAGTTACTTTAAAAGGCAGGGGTTCAGAGACCCCAAATTCTTAACTCTAGTGTTAATCAAGTGGCTGACCAGGGTGAGGGTTGAGGAGGGGTTAAAAGAAATTGAGGTACATGACCTTAAACTTACCCCTTAGTATCCCGTTTGCTTATGTGGTAACTCCCATTGAAACCTACAGATGACCCAAATAAAAAAATAAAAAATAAGCTTAGGGTTTAGTAATAATTTTATAACATAAAAGAATTATAAGGGTAAGCCTGGGAGGATTTTTTTTTTTTTTTGACATCGGGTGGAGGATGATTACTCTGGACTGGACCCAGAGATTCTCTACCACCCAACTATATCCCTAGTCCTTTCTGTTTTTTTACTTTGAGACAAATCTCGCTAACAGGCTGGCCTCTAACTTGAGATTCTCTTGCCTCAGCCTTCCCAGTCTCTAGGAGTACAGGAGTGTGCCACCTGCCCCGGACCCTAGTAGGATTCAATAGTCCCCCAAATAGATCAAATTTACCCATTCACTTATTATCTTACACCCTTAATATGTCCTCCAATTCCTGGAGCCATGGGAGATTATAAGAATATAAACAATAAAAATTTGTACTTTCTTCTCAAGGAAATTTAAAACGAAGCCAAGAGAGACAGGATTCATTTATTTATTTTAATTTTTTTTAGTTGTAGTTGGACACAACACCTTTATTAAATTAAATWAAATAAATTTAAATTATTAWATAAAATAAATTAAATTTATTTGTTTATTTTTGTGTGTGTGTGATGCTGAGGAGCTAACCCATCGCCTCCCGCGTGCTAGGTGAACACTCTACCGCTGAGTTATAACTAAGTATGTGAATAAGAACCAAAGTATGGCTTTGGCAGTAAACACTATGAGTTTAGAGTCACCACCGTGGTAGGAATAGTCAGAGGAGACTCCTATAAGTACTTCCCTTGCAGAACCTGGAGGAAAGGCAGGCTGTGGCAGGAGGAAGCTGCCAGCTGGTGCTCACAGGGCAGCTCAGGGCTAGCAGGCTAAGCAAGCGGCAGAAGGACCCAGGAGCCTGGGTGGCCAGGCAATTGCAGGCCTCTGCCTGTGCAAGTGCCTTTCCTCTGTTTGGAAGATCAGGACTTCCTCCCCTAGCCCTTTCCCCAACTAGTTGTTCCCCCTCTGGGGAGGCTTTACTGCACCAGGGTACACACACACACACACACACACACACACACACACACACACACACTGGTACATTTCTTCTTTGTAGACTCCACCATTTTAGTGCCTAGTGACTGATTCCCAGTGTGCTGTATCATTCCCAGTAGCCCTACCCATGCCTCTGGCTGGGTTGCAGGGGAACTTTGCCTGGTGCCTCCTGCTGGAAGTTTCCCTCCACATCCTCCCACACAACCACACCCACTCCCACTCCCACTCCAGGGGACAATGTGAATAACTGACGATATAAAGGCATCAGTACTTCAGTCCCCTGTACCAAAGTTGCCCTCCCTGAGACTTCCAATGGTTTTACTCATTTGCTTGGCCTCCTTCCCTTCCAGGTCCCACTTTCAAACCTCCCCCACCCMTCCAGTCCCCATACACACAGTACTGTGGATTGAACCCAGAAGAGCTCTTACTGTCAGGCTACATCCCCAGCCCTTTTTAATTTTTGTTTTGAGATAGGGTCTCTGTTAAATTGGCCAGGCTGGCCTCCTCTTGCCATCCTCTTGCCTCGGCCTCCTGATTTGCTGGGATTACAGGCATCAGGCTTGCCCTAGCTCCATCACTTTCTTTACTTTCTTTGTTTCTTTTACTTTTCTTTTTCTTTCTTTCTTTCTTTTTTTTTTTTTGTACCAGGAATTGAACCCAATAGCGCTCAACCACTGAACCACATCCCCAGACCACTTTATTTTCCATTTTGAAACAGGGTCTTGCTCAGTTGCTAAGACTGTCTTTGAACTTGGGATCCTCCTGCCTCAGCCTCCTGAGCTGCATGTGCCATCATATCTAGCCGGGCTCTCATCACTTTTTAATGTACCTTTTTGTTGGGGGGGGGATGGAAGGTTATGAGGGATTGAAATAAGGGGCACTTGATTATTGAGCCACAWCCCCAGATCTATGTTGTATTTTATTTACAGACAGGGTCTCACTGAGTTGCTTAGCACTTCACTTTTGCTGAGCCTGGCTTTGAACTCATGAACCTCCTGCCTCAGCCTCCCAAGCTGCTGGGATTACAGGCATATGCCACTGTACCCAGCTACATCTGCAGTTCTTAACATTCTGCTACTCCTTTTTTTTTTTTTTCCTTCATAACTGGGGATTGAACCCAGGGACATTTTGCCACTGAGATACATTCCTAGCTCCTTTTRTTTTATTTATTTATTTTTATTTTATTTTGAGAAGGGTCTCACTAAATTGCTGAGGCTGGCCTTGAACTTGTGATCCTTCTACCTCAGACTCCAGAGTTACTGGGATTACAGGCATACACTACTGTACCCAGTCTTTTTTAAAATTTTGAGACAGGGTCTCACTTAATTTCCCAGGCTGGCCTCCTTCCCCAGCCTTCCAAATCACTAGGATTATAGGTGTGGGCCACCATCCCTAGCAACATCCTGCTACTTTATTTAATTCTTCAAC